CACACACACACACACACACACAGACAGCCTCTCGACAATATGCGTTTTTGCTGGCTGTAGCAGTGCAAAAACGCATAAAAATTTGCAATTAAAGTCAAAAAATGTCTAAAATTTTGCATTTTTAACCAAATTCTGATTTTTTCGAACATTTTAACCTGAAACGATTTTTCCGCAACAGCTTCGGAGTAAGTCGTAGCGGAGTCGACGTTTTTAAAGGAGTTCCAGGCAGTACGGAATATTTACGATATGGCGAATTTGTTTCGGTGGATACATCTTCCAAATGCTTCGCAGATGCAAGCATTGCTGAGAGAGCCGAGTTTTCGCCTGGAAAAAAATAAAATTCAATAGAAACCAGTTTAAAACATGTTTTTGGTAGTTTCGCATGAAAAAGAAGCGTCTGCCACTAGTCCCGCTGATGGAAAGTTTCGACAGCACAAATTATACGATTTCTCTCGCTTCCAGACAGATCGCTAGGAAAGTATTCTTCGCCTTATCACGATAAAATCAATCAAAATGAACGATTTATGAATTACTATTCCTCGCTACAAACCGCGTGGATCATAAGAAGCGACTAGCATTAATTTGCCGATTTGTAACAGAAATATAATGTCACGCTTCTATACCTCCGTCACTTGAAAACAGCCATTTTTGATCCCATCAAAGCACCTCTTAAGTAAAAATCTGAAAGTGCAAAACCTGAGAAGACAAAGATCGATACCTTCGGAGTCGGCCCAATCCGGACTGACTGGAAACGACAGATTTATCTCTCTGAAAAGTAAATGATCAATAAAAGTACGAGTTGAAGGAATGTAAATAATCAAATTTCAAAGATATTTCACATACACGCACACACATACACGCACACACACACACACACACACACACACACACACACACACACACACACACACACACACACACATATACACACACTCACCATAAGTAAGCAATTAATGGACAGGAACGACAAAAACCGGAAGGCTTCATTCGGCATGAAGAAAACAATCGTGGTTCATAACAAATAAAAACTCTCTAGTACTGTACCGCATTATCCACCCTGGCTCCTCCAACCTCCTCGTACTCTTTACATGTCTTTTCGCTACTGTGCAGCTAGTAAAATTCACAAAAAAATCAAAATCCATACTCAAGGAATATGAAAAATAAAAAAAGTTAAAATGCTCACAAGCAATTGCATTCAGACATATCCAAAATTTTGCATTTAATTTAAAGTTCCTGTTTATTCTTTACTCATATCTGAAACAAAAGAAAAGTTCATGCCCCGGAAAAGCTTACCCAAGAAATAATTCAGGGCCAAGACTACGGGCTCTCCGGTGTTTAGGTGTGCCTGCTTCCTTACGTCTGCGACTTCGCGATGGTAACTGTGGCGTCAGAGATTGGGCAATCGCCTCAAATGCTGACAAATTTGAACGAAATTTGCTGAGTGCTTGCACTGTCCGTGACAACGATGCACGACGCAACAGGAACGCTACGGGCGACGCTGATGCAACCACCGATTGCGCATTGCTTTCACGTGCCATCGATAATCTGAAATTGATCGAATTTATATGAACAGTTCCAATACAAGGCAGAAAAAAAGATTTTCAATGCCAATTGAATGTCCAGAAGAAGTCGTGAAGGAATCAGTTCCCAATGCCAAAACCGAATCCACGATCCGAATTTGAGAACTGTTACTAACATTATTATTGTCATTGTTAACAATGCTGTTATTATTAATATTATTGTTATTGTTAACATTATTGTTATTGTTAATATTATTGTCATTGTTAATATTATTGTTATTGTTAATGTTATTGTTATTGTTAATATTATTGTTGTTGCAAATATTATTGTTATTGTCAATATTATTGTTATCGTTAATATTATTGTTATTGTTAACATTATTGTTATTGTTAATATTATTGTTATTGTTAATATTATCGTTATTTTTAATATTATCGTTATTTTTAATATTATCGTTATTTTTAATATTATCGTTATTTTTAATACTATCGTTATTTTTAATATTATTGTTACTGTTAATATTACTGTTATTGTTAATGTTGCTGTTATTGTTAACATTACTTTTATTGCTAATATTATTGTTAATATTACTGTTATAGTTAATATTATTACTGTTTTTAACACTATTGTCATTGTCAATATTATTGTTACTGTTATTATTGCTATCGTTGTTTTTATTATTGTTTTTATTATTATTCATATTAATAAAGCAGACGCTGTGCTTCACCCTGACCAACGGTTCTAAAAAAAAATCCAAATTCAAAGTGTTTGGTAAACAATGAAGCAAAAATTAATAAAAAGCAAGCGTCGTCTAATTAAAAGGAGCTATCTGTG